TCTAGGGTGAAAGCTAGTATCTTCCCTGCCTAGCCGGTCTTCAAAATTATTCAAACTTTAAATTAATCAATGTTCTTTATAACATCTCTAGTAAGGGTAAAGAATATTATTGTTCCTATTTGACACAACACAATATGAATACTTTCATAACATAATTTTTATACTTTTTACTAGTTCATGATAAGGAGAGAGACATCTTCATATTTAGTGCTTTTCTTCTACAAAAACTCAAGTTATCTTTTTAAGTTTGTTCTGTTTTTGTCAAAATATTAAAATTACCAAAAATATTCAAAATTTCTTTACTGAAAAAACGTCTTTAGTTTAAATAATTGTCTTTTTAAAAATATAAAATTTTCCAAAAAATGCATTTTGCATATCTTCCTTGTGGGTTCGATATTTAGGTCTTAATCAAAAAGTCTTATATTACTTGATAACGATACTATACTTGTGTAGTATCCCGATATATATAAATTAAAAGTTCAATTCTTATTTTTATTCAGGATCAAATTTTTGGTTTTGTTGCAAAATAAAGAAATATAAGTGAAAAATATAATCAAAATTATTGTTATATTGTTGTATATAAGCAATTTCGGATTAGAGGCTCATTGGACCAAAGTACAAGGTTGACCATGTCGGGTGGCCAATCAAGCCTAAGTGCGAGGCAGACCGTGGGGTAGTCGAGCCAATGTACAATGCAACATGCAAAGTGCAAAATGTAATACAAACCCAATATGATGCAAGTGATCATAATTGATAACTATCCATACTCATTCTAACATCCTCGCTTAGGTACCTAGGGTTTAGCACATGGATATGCGACATAGTTGTCTCCTGCTTTGGTGAGGCATGTGGGAAGCTTAACCTTTGAATTTCTACAAGAAAAGTATCTACAATGTTGTGGAATGGACTAAGTACAAAGCTTTTCCCATTCCACAACTCCTCATGATTTTAAAAAGTGAGCTAACTACTAAGCTTTTCTTACTTCACAAAATTCAAATATCCCAATTTCTATAAAGAGGGTTGGAAATGCCAAAGCAAGGGGAAATTGAGATTCCAACCCACTTAAGATTTAGGTCTAAGGGTTGCAATGGGATTCACAAAGGATTTAGCTACGCATGTGGTCCCTAACCTAAGGTTTCCTTTATAAAAGAAACAATTAATCAATAGGTGTGTGGTTGAACTGACTTGTGTCGGCCGACCAACTTGACTAGCATGGGTGATTGAACCCATGACGATATCATAAAGTTGGCCAATCAAAAGGCGTATTGTCGGACCGACCAGTATCGTTCTACCAGTCGCATCTTTTGATGACGGACAATTGATTGCACCGAACGTTGTCGGGTGACCAATCAAGCCCACCTTGTGCGGGCGACCAAAACCTACAACACATAGTAAAAGCTACTCCTAGATCTAGCTAAGAAATAAAATGCGAGGGATTTTTAGTTAATCTCAATAATGTGGCATTTGATGTAGTGTTTCTTTATATTGGATAAAACTCTCCTAGTGATAGGAGAGATGACAAAGTTACTGCAAAGTTTAGAGCTCCGAAAAAGTTATGGTAAAACTCCAATGATCCTTCCCCAAGCTATGATAAAGCTCTCCTTTAGTGTAGGAGGGTAGGCACCTTCCTCCCTTGCAAGCCAAGAACTTCCTCACAAAACTCTCCTCACACACCAAAATGAAGTGATGGAAGAAGAGGATGCAAATTAAGGAATAAGAAGAAGAAGAGGACCAACTCCTTAGCTCTCTCCTTCAAAAAGATGAAGAGTCTTCCTCAAATCCCTTTACTCAAAGAGATTCTCTTCAAGCCACCTCCAAAAATCTCAAGAGGAAGATAAAGCTCTCACTTGTGCAAAAAGAAAGCTTAAACTACTTTCCCCATGAAAAATCCCCATAGTGCCCCTTAATTAAGCTCAAAATGGCTAATCAATGGCACTTACTACATTCCAAAAAGGGTTAATCCCCCAGCCTTTTCATAGTCCCAAGGAGATCTCCCAAAGTCTAAAGAGGGCCTAAAAATTTGACTCTATGTGGCATGCCTCTCTAGGGACACCAAACCAAAATTTGAAATTTGGGCGGGCTGGCATAGTCACGCTGCTCTGCTTGTGGAGTCAGCGTGGTCATGCAAAAACTCTAGAATAATTACGTCAGCTTCATTGTCTTGTGGCATGGTAACACTGCCTTCGGGCATGGTTACGCTGTAGATGGCTTTGAGCTATTTGAAGGAAGGTCTGGCATGGTTACGCTATATTGTGACATAATTATGTCGTGGGCTCTGTCTTGCAACATGGTCATGCCTCCTTCAGACATGACCACGCCGAAGGCAGCCTCCTCAACCCTTATGGGGAGGGGGTAGGCGTGGTTACAACCGATTTAGGCATGGTCATGCCATACCCTTAAATTAATTTTTATCATTTTCTCGCTCCAAAAGTTTGCTAATCGTGTCACATGATACAAAAAAAAGCTCTTAATTGTTAACTTAGACTACACAAGCCTTGAATGATCGTTCAGCTTGCCCTAGAATGGAGAACAGTCACGGATCAGTAGTACTTGTTGTTGAGTACGATCAGGGGGGGTAAATCCTAATATGGAGATGAAGTGCATCTAGTAACATCCCGACGGACTCCTTGAGCTACAGGAGACCACACATGAGCGCCACACACTCTTACAACATCATAGGGGCATCCAGTATTCGTGACATCAAAAATTGATGCCAACATCAAATTTATTGCTTTTAACGACATTATTTCAAATAATTTTCTAGTAATAGAAAGTACCCCACATAGATACCCAATCAACTAGAAAAATTAGACTCTATCTAATGTCACTTTGGAAGTTAAGATGGATAGTAAAATCTTGAGCCAAAAATGATGAATAAGTTTATGGATTTAAACTTGAAATAGTGTTCTTTGACATTTAATAAAATTGATGCAACGCCAATATGTATGAAAACCAATTTACAGACCATAAACTCAAACATTGCATTAAGTTCAATTATTCTTATAATCATTACCAAACATATATATTAAATCTTAGAATAAGCTAACATTACTCGACAACTTCTAAATACTCCAATTGTATAAGGGTTAGCAATCATTCTCACTCCATTTCCAAATATGCTTCAGTAGCCCGTACTCCCTTCACATCTTATGTGAGTATTAGCAACCTTCATAGAATCCTTTAATTTCCTTATTTGATAGCCCATAGAAGAAACATATCGAAAAAGATTGATTGTTTGAAAGAAATCACTCTAATTTTAAAAAGCTTACTTGCATGTTATTAATTATTATTCCTGTGTTATGTAATTACTATTTATTATTCGCTTTCTCTTATCATTAAGATATTTCATCAACCCATGAGACTACTTATATGTGGCACCAAACTCAAACACTTTAGGTTTACATTGAACAAGTTTATAAATAACACCCATAATATACCTATTTTTATTTTCTAGCTTGTTGGTTGAACTTGTTTGGTGTTTGGTGCTTCAAATTTTATATGGAAACTCTTTCGTCTTCTCACTCTATTTAATTCCCCTCTCTTTTATATATATTAGCTCACAACCAAGCTTCAAAATCATTCATTTCATCCCCCTAAACCCACGCCATCATGCCCAGGCCTTCCTCCAAAACATGCTTAGCCTTATAAAGCTCTAAGACAACTATATGCATAACAACCTAAGTCAACGATATTAACTAAAAAATTAACCTTTCTCTGGTTCATCCTCCATAGAAACCTCAGCAAAATCCAAACCAGCCACCACTAACAAGCACTCCACCATCCCATTCAATTTTTTTAAAAAATATAAAAACATTGTCAAACATCTTTACACTTTCCTTACAAGGCATGCTCAATTCCCCTTGGTTTGAACTAGCCTTATTTCCTAATTCTTAACTATACTTATCGCCTTGCCTAAAAAGTATATCACGTAAAACTTTATCTTAATCGTCAAGATTCACTTGACACCACCACCAAATACCCTATATAAATTTATAATTTAGAATTTTGTCACACATTTATTATATTATTCCCACTTCTATTATACTCAATTTAATTATTAATGAATTTTTCACTCAACACTTGTAACATAAGCAACTAAACTAAGATTTTATAAGCTTTATCTTTATGTCTTCATGTTATTTTTATCTCAAAGTATTTCTATGTTACACTTTATAATTAGAATTTAGCTTAGCATATTAAATTTAATCACAAAAATCCTTGCTAAATTGTTTTACAAATGACATAATTTTTTTTACCTAATATGATCTAAATTCTTAAGGATGATTAGCACATTATCTAATCATAAGGTTCTAAATTCAAGGTCTAGTGCACATTAGTCAAATAAAAAAAATCATTATTTCTAATACAAATTTAATATACATTTCTTTTATATTTTGACAAAATATTCAAATATAACATAACACTAAAATAATTAAATTGAATTTTATTTTACGATTAATTTGGTTGAAGAGAAATTGATTGAGATATATTTCCATTTCTCATAGTTGATAAAAAATCAAGCTGTTACTTCTTATGATGAGTAGACATACAAGTCACAATAATGACTAACTAAAATTTCAATTCATTTTCTTGGAGCTGATCATAAAATTGTAAATGAAAAATATATTCGACAAAAAATTTAATTGAATCCAAAAACTTATTTATTAAATTAAAATAAATAAGCAATTTGAATTTGTAAAGCAAAATGTATATATATTCAATTAGGTTCCAAGCAATGAAATGTACCAAAAAAAAATTTTACTTCTTAATGAGAAATTAAGTTTATAGTTCTAGTGAGGAAGTCCCATTATAATTTATAAAATAAACTCAATTTACTTTCTATAATTTTCCAAAATCAAGTATAATCTTCATGTTATTTATTTACTTATTTTTAATGAATACATCTATTATTAGCATTTTACTCTCTTTTTTTTTTAAAAAATAAAAATTCCACCTGAGCCAAACTCAGAGGACTACATGAAGCAGTACCCACACAAAAGGAACGGGTGCTCCCGCTGTGCTTTCTCTCGCGAGCTCCCGCGTCACTTAATTAAAGACAAGGTCGATGGCGATGGTTGGAGGAAGCACTGCTGCTGCTTCCGGCGAGGTTGAGGCCGGCTTTGCTAAGCTCCAGGGAGAGGATTTCGAGTACTACATGCAGACCTATTCGATCATGCTGGGTCGCAACAGTAAGAAGTCCGCTGTCGACGTAGACCTCTCTAGCCTCGGGGGTGGAATGAACATTTCCCGTCATCACGCTCGCATCTTCTACGACTTTCAGCGTCGCCGCTTCGCCCTCGACGTCATTGGCAAGAACGGGTGCCTCGTCGAGGGTGTACTCCATCTTCCAGGAAACCCACCCGTCAAGCTCGATTCTCAGGACCTTCTCCAGATTGGCGACAAGAAGTTTTACTTTCTACTTCCCACTCGATCCATTTTTTCTACGGCATCTGTACAACGCCACATCCCGCCTCCTCCACTTCCATTTGCGGGGCGAAAGATAGCCTCTGCCCGGCCGAGGATCGCGGGATATGAGGAGGTTCGGGAGGTGGAAGAGGACGACGATGATATGGAAGAGGGAGGAACGAAGAGGATGAGGAGGGGGGCGTTGGAAGCGGAGAGGTACGGTAGTTACGGTTTGCCGCATTCTGCCCTGCAGGGGAAGCCGGGGCTGCAGGCAATGGGTCAGTATGTGAATGCTTTCATCTCTGCTGGTGGCTATCATGATTTCTCATTTTATAGTTAAAGATTAGGGATGACCCGGGATTAGGCACTTTTCTTGATTTTATCGGACCTGCATGTTTCTGCACTTCAGCTATGGTTTGAGGAAACTAAATGCACGGAATTAGGATGACTTGTTTTTTGTTATTTATATTAATCTGTGTTGAAGTTATTAGATATGGAGAGTTCTGGTTTGTTTACATCCCAAATTTGGCTTGCAGTTTGCACTAGGTTAAATGACAATTTGTTTTGAGCGAACGTTGGAGCCATCTATTTCAATGCCAGTCTATCTTCTATCTTGCTTTTGCATCTTGGATTCTCCGACCCCTGTCAGTGAGTTTTTTTCATGCTTTTGCGTGAATCCATGGATGCAGTGCCTTTGTACCTTCTGGTTTATTGACCTATGAGAACTTGCCATGATTGGGCAAATCTTTGATTCTACTAAATGTGCTGATTCTGTGATTGCATCATCATTCAAGTTTGCTCTTGTTATTTTTTGTCAGGTTGTAAGCCAGGCTCAGTCATCCCATTATTATACTGTAAAGTTAGGATACATTAGCTGATGTCGAAGGGCTTCCTAGGGTTTGGGATAAGCAAACTCCACTTCAATTCTAGTGAGATTGAGAAATTCAGAGAAGTCAAGATGTCCACACATATTCTCAAGCACTAAGAGTATTATAAGTATTTAGATCGATGCATTTTGATTTAACATGGAAGTGAGGTTATGTGGATAATCCTTGTTCACATTAAAAATGATACAATGCTGATTTTGTGGCTTTATTCATCCACATCCACCAGCGACTCTCCTTCCCTTTGTTAGCCTTTTGGTCTTAGGTCTGTCTTTGTAAGAGTAGGACTAGTGAACTAGGAACTTTTTTTTGCTTCCCTCCCTGCTTTATTTTCAATATCTTTTCTTTAACGGCATTCTGTACTTCGTCTTTTGAAGGAGGTTTTTTGAACTACTATCAAACAAAAGTTCCCTTTTCTTAATCATGCAATTTGGCATTCGGAATATGAAATCTTATTCGGGAATAATGCGGAGCATTATGATTCCATTATTTTTGACATATCCCCCTATCCTTGCCTTTATAAGTCCCCTTAGAAATCTCATGGATATAGTTGTTGGGGCCTCTTCCCTATTCCATACCTTGCTTTTCTGTCACGACATGTTTTTTTGATATTTTTGTATCATGATACTGTTGCATGCCTAGTGTGATAAAGATCTATTAAAGACATGCCAAGGCATCTTTAATGTGATGATGTAGTCTTGGAGCATTTTGAATGCGTAAATTTTTATGTGGATGCTTTTTTGATTTGAGGAAGGGATTATGCTACACATTGATGAGGTATCATACTCAAGCCATAGCTTTTGTGATGTAGGGCATTTTAAGGTATAAGATTCAATAATGCTGGCTCAGGAGAAGGTGTGCAAAGCAACACACAAATGATCATAATTCGTAGTTTCCCTACTTTTACTTTAGGTATAGATTAGTATTTTGATACAAAATTAGAAATCACACTTCTTAAGTTCCCTTTGATTGGATAAACCAAAATTTGAAATTTTACAATTAATTTAGATGCAAATATAAAATTCCACTATAAGACTCACATCACGAATGATGGAACTAGTATGCAATGGACTTCACAAGATCTCAATTACGAACACAAATTATTCATAAATAATTATGATTGAAAAACAAAGGATAAAAGTCACCAATTTGACCTTGACATGTTGCCTTTGTTAGGAGAATCACGCCTTGTAAGTTGTTGTCAAGACTTGGAAAGCGTTCAAATACTCCATAGCCAACACACAAAAGTATTGAGAAAAACATCTAAATTTTATTAAAGCTGAAGCATAATTTTTTATGCATAAGGAGCTTCTTTTAATAATTAATCAACAAATTTGGTTCTAGCCAAAACATTTTTTAAAAAAGTTTCCCATCTCAGTTTCAACAAAAAGTCAATTTTCAAATCCCATTTTTTTAAGGCCAAGTAATTTTGGTTCCTCCTTGGTGCACTAGCTGGGAATAGAAGGAAACCGATCAGTTGAATACTATTACAGTGCAAATTACGGGAATATAAGGAAATTAAACAACTAGTGGTGGATCCAGAATGCATGAAATATAGGCTCAATATTTCTGCTTCAGCGAATTGTCTCAAGGGAAGAGCCATACATAGAATGAATAAGGCACACTCTAGCAATGGTAATAGAGTTGTCTTTAGCTTCAAAGAAGGCCTTAACATTAGCAACAAAGTAACCTTATTCAATAGATATAGCTTCAACAACAATAACAATGATCAAATTAGCGACAAACAATGACTGAACATATGTTGAATCAGAAAAATAAAGGAAATTGATGATATGTTGACTTGAATGATTGATTACCGCTGAACCAAGCACTGTAAGAGCTGATATGAGCGAAATTGCATTAGCAAATTAAATCAAACGAGGTCATCAAAATACTAGAGAATGTATCTTATTCTCAATATAATCATCTTTAGAGGCATGCTTTACAAGAAATTAGATTAGGAATGTTGAAAGTAATACTCGAGAACAATTAAAACAATATCAAAATACACAATTTGTATTTTCTAAGAATAAAGAGTTTTTAACTTGCAAATTTTGATTCCAAATTAAGTAGTTGATTGTTATCATGCAGATGTAGGCAAAATTCTTATGCTTTATGCAATGTAATTAATAAATTATCACAAGTATATTTGTTATACCAAGGTACAAAAAAGATGTAATAGCTAGCCTTGTCATGGGCCATAATCTTTATCAAACAACATGAGTATATTCGTCTAGTAAGGTAATGGATGTGAATTCACAAAGATAAGGTGGAAAGAGAAAATATAATAACATTGGTAACATTTTCATGAAATCAAATGAAATCAAATATTTTGGAGTCTAGAATAATATCAGTTTTTTGAAAAATTCATTTTGTATTTTCTTGTTCTAGTATGCTATAAGATTTTATATGGCCTATCCTTTCTTGCATTAACTTTGTAAAGACCTTTATTGGTAGATTTTCAAGATTTAGATGTGCCTTCTTTTTAATTTTTTTTAAACGTTGTCATTGCCGATCCAAAGCCCTAGATGTGCCTTCTTTTTAATTTTTTTTAAACGTTGCCATTGCCGATCCAAGCCCCGGATCCAAAGCCCGGTGTGAAAAGTGGAGGGTTGCGTTAGGTAGTTGACAACCAGTTTAAAACTTGTCGAAAAAATCATGACATGAATCCTTTTGATCATTGTGTAAGTGCTAGGGCTTCCCCTAGAAGCGACACACTGTATAGCCTGAATACAGTGAAAAGTGTGAATGGGTCGCTACATCGGTGCCCGGTTATAGTGTCAAATAAGCAACGGTTCCCACATTACGGACGAATTCAGGTAAAGAAGTTAGTCCATGAAACTAATGAAATTAATATCAGGATAGAATCTTGGAATACAGGTACTCTCAATGGAAAAATTAATAGAATTATTTGATATTATGATTCATAGAAAGATTAATATCTTATGTAGTCAAGAAATTAAATGGGTTGGAGAAAAGGCTAAGGAGATTGATAACTTATGTTTCAAACTTTGGTAATCTGGTAGTCGCACTACAAATGGTGTATGTGTAATTATAGATAAGAGTTCGAAAGATAATTTTGTAAAAATTAATAGAGTTGAAAGTAAAATTATAATCTTTAGGATAATCATTGATACTAAAATTTTTAATATTATCAGTGCTTATGCTCCTCAAGTAAGTTTAGATATATGGTCTAAAGATAAATTCTGGAATGACTTAGATAGCTTAATACAAATGATACCTCTTGAAGAAAAAATTTTTATTGGAGGAGATTTAAATGGACATGCCGGTAGAGTGGTAGAAAATTTCAGAAATATTCATGGTGGCTACGGTTTTGGAGTAACAAATGAAGAAGATAGAGCTATTTTAGATTTGCTTTAGTGTATGATTTTATTATTACTAATACTTTATTTAAGAAAAGAGATGAGTATCTTATACTTATAAGAATGGATCTAATAAAACACAAATTGATTATTTTCTTATGAGAAGAAGAGATCGTCGAGATTGTAAAGATTGTAAGGTCATTCCAAGTGAAAATTTAAGTACCCAACATCGTTTATTTATTCTAGATTTTAAGATGAAGAGTTGTAAAATAAAAAATACTAAGACTCATCATCGTAGAATTATATGGGGAACCTAAAAGACAAATAAAATTAGTTTTATGAGTAAAATTCAAGAGTTCAAAATTTGGGTTGTTCATGATGAAACAAGTGGTATATGGGATAAAATAAAAAACACTATTAAACAAGTAGCAAAATATTAAATTTGGAGCAAAAGTTATGGGAGAGGGTAATTATGGGACAGGGTACTTGAATAAAGGTTAAGATGTATTATAAAGATTTCTCATAATCA